CCCCAAAACCCCAAAACCCCAAAACCCCTAGATTTATGAGATTTATTGAAAATAATCAACTAAATTTTAAAAATATTAAAAAAATCAAGTTAAAGCATGGAAGAGTTTGATTTAAATTGAGAAATAGAAACTATCTATACTGCATCAAGTATTTCTATATCTTTGATCCCATAGCTTCATCAGCCCAAGAAGCCAGTAAGAGTGTAGTGAGGTAAATTTCCCATTTTATTAATTTTGCTCATTTTTTTACTTAATATAGCCACTTCAAAGACTTACTTGACAAGAACAAAGATGATACAACCCAAATAGAAGAAGCAGTAACCAGCTTAAAGGAAAAGCTGCTTGGAGGAGTGGCTGATACTGACAAAACTATCGCAGTTAGGTTTGTTGAATGTGTAGTTTCCCTTACGAACGAGGATGAATACTTCCACATCCAGCTTAAAGAAATACTCGATCTAATCTTTGAGCACTTTTTCGAAGAAGATATGCTTGTGAAAATAACTCTTATCGACTTCGTCATCGATATCTGTAACTCATCTTGGAATGTTAAGTACTTACTTCAAAATGGCTTCTTAGATAAGATCCTTGCTGACGCAGTTGAGACAGGAGATGTATTTGGCCTGATCAGCAGGAGGTTCATCATGGCTATAGCATGCATTCACCAAAAGTACCCAAAAGAGTTCCCAATAAGTGATGATTACATGTATTTCTTAAAAAGAAATATGGAAATGACTGAAAATGAAAACAAAGATGTAGCTTTGAATGCACTCTATCTATTGTTGCAGAACAAGGATAATATCAAGATATTTATAGCTGATGTAGAGTTTATTGTAGACTGGCTTAGAGCCACAAATTATCTGAGTGAAGATATCAGGAAGTCCTTCTTTTTGTCTCTCAGATCATTGCTCTATGTTCCAGAAGATTGCGAAAATTTTGCAGAAATCAATCCAATTATCTTTAAAATTTTCAGCAATATTACTTCACCAGAGAATTACAGAGATGGGAATGGAAGTATTACAGAGGCTATAACTTATGTTGTAAAGTACACTGCAGTGCCTGCAGTTGCTGAGGATGCTAAGCTGATTTACTTCAAACTACTGAATGAACTCATCCTCTGGCAATGGGGTTATAAGGCCTTGTTCAAAAATGAAGATTTTGTAGAATATATTCTCAGTCGAAAACATGATGAAACAAAGGCCGTACTTGAGGCCAAATATGAGTTTATCACTAACTGAGTCCAAAACCCGCTAATTGATGAGAAGTACAAGTGCATCGACCCTAAGATTGCAGAGGGACTGAAGAATTATCATAAAGAAGGAATCTATCCAACGAGTGCTCCTCACGAGGAATCTCAAGCTCATGATTTCCACGTTGCCACTGAAGGAGCAGGCTAGTTGAAATTATAATTTTCAACCAAATTTTTAAGGTTCAATTTAATTATTACAACTGGGGTTTTGGGGTTTTGGGGTTTTGGGGTTTTGGGG